TATATTGCTCCCTATTCTTTATCTCCTACTACTTCCTTATAGGTAGCTAGAACTAGGATATTCTGCTARTATGYAGTTTAGGTAGCTRTTATAGAGAAAGCAAGTTTATAGAAGATGTCTTRYATTTCTAGGTCCTAGCCTAGTTTAGAGATTATAGCTAATARGGCCTATATAATCTCTATTRCTTCTCTATTAGGATTCTAATCCTTTAGCCTCTCTTAGCTTATCTCCTAAAAGACTTTTAGTCCTTTGGATTTGGATTTAAATCCTTCTACATTACTTATAGCTTTTCTCTTTCTTTACTCTACCTAAGGTAGAGAATTAACTTAGTCCTTAATTTTCTGGAATTCCCCCATATTTGCTAGGGGAGGAGGAATCTAAATAAATACTATAGGAGCTAACTTTTTAGTTATAGGTTCCTAGATTAGAATAGGTTTAGGTCTTAGTAYATTAGCTAGCCTTCTAAGTGGTTTTCTCTATAGTGTATTTAAGGAAAGATGCTTAGATTAAAACTTTAAATCCAAATCACCCCCCCTCTTTTCCTTAAAGAATACTACATTTAAGTGCTATTTTATAGCTCTTATATCTGGATCCTAGAAAAGCTAGGATTTTAATATTCCTTTAACATATCCCACAAATACTACATCCTTTCCTCTATTTATAAGTTTGTTACTCCTTGCCTATCTAGGTTAGGATTTTAGGTCTATATATATAATAGCTTAGCACCCCTAAACTCTTAGATAATGCATAGTCGGCTTTATTCCTATAAATACTTCTTTAGGTAATAGCTTAAAGCCCTTAACTTTAGGACTATTTAGCAGCCTGTTCCTTATTTTAAACTAGGCTGCTAGGGCTTTAGGCTAAAATTCAATTAGCATTCCTAATTCTTTAATTATTGCCCTTACTGCATCTTCTAATATTTAGATAGATCTTTCTACAACTCTATTCTAAATAGAGTTATATGCATCTGTTATATTAAAGTGGATTCCTAAATCCTTCTCCTACTATTTTAGTAGACTAGTAAGTTTAGGTGCATTGTCTAATCTTATTGTCTTTAATTTTAAAGATGTTTTTCTTTTAGCTTTTAGCTTCTAGATTTTTAGAGCAGCTAGGGTATCCTCTCTACTAATAAGTAGGTATCCCTATTTCTTYCTTAAGAAGTTRTTAACAAYTTCTAGCTAGTATTAATATCCTAATCTRGACTTTAGGAGAGGGCTATARATATYTAGGGATATAAGCTTAAGTACCTAAGGTTTTCTCTTAGTAACTYTTCCTTTATRTTTCTTTATCTTTATAAGARYATARACTCTRYACTTTTTCTTATAGTCTTCTAGGAGTTAGATTAGATCCTTTAAGTYTATTACTTTATAGATATTYTTAAGAAGATTCTTRCTAAAATAGCTAAATCTTCTATACTAAAGCTCCTRCTAATTTAGTAACTCTCTTATAGTAAATCCTATTTCCTTACTTTCTTCCTTTTCTTCTTTTACTAATAAAATAAGAGCTCTCTTCTAAAGGGATTCTAAAACTTCTAAAATAAATAGTATACTATTCTAGATTCTAGTCTAGATAATAGGAGTTCTATCCTATAACACTAGAGTAAACTAGGGTAGTTAAAYACTATACTAATAGCTRAACTAATTCTAAGAAAYAAGATTAACTCCTAAATTAGGTAYAAACAAAACTTTATTAAGYAAGATTTTCTTCCTATTCTRGCCTCCTATAACTGCTTTTCCCTTATRTRTAGCTTRTAGCTATCTACCCCTAACCTTAATCTATTTCTTCCTTTAAAGTAGAATTATAGATCTAAAGAGTTGTAGTTAGTTAGTTATRTAGRATAAGGCATAGGAGTCTAGTAACTATTCTAAGGAGGTTAACTTRCCTTTTGCCTCTAAAGAAGARTRTGCAATCTTATTAGTTTCCTCCTTAAATTAGGATAAGGTAGCACTTAATAAGGTTAGGGATAATTCCCTAGATTAGGCTTGTTTAGTAAGGAATGCTTTCTTAGCAGTCTTCCTTATTTTCCTAAATTTAGAAAG